TGCTGTGCAGAACACTCTGGGATGGCTTTCATGGGCAATAGAAGGTAGACAGAGAAGGACAAAGTTTTACTTGAAATAAATAAAGCTTTACTTGAGATAATTCTCAAACCTTAAATCAACATCTTCCCCAACCAGACTTTTAAACATGGTTACTAACAAGTAGAAATTTATTCTCCCTGCTTCATCTTACCTCATCCTCATTCTAACAAAACCACTAACAAGATGAGAGGTAATCAAAACGGCAGTCACCTAAGATGGAATCCAAAAGCCAGAGAAATCCACAAGCTAGAAAGTTGGAGCCTGAATTGTGGGTGGCAGTTCCACGTATACCATTATTATTTTAGCCCGAGACTATCTTAAGTCAGGTTCTTTATTTCTCCCATCAGCTCCATTGATCCTCTAGCTTGAAGGAATGTCTAGCTGCACACCAGTTTCTGGGACCCCATAAATTTCTTAGGCTATGCATTAAACCTGAGCCAAAGAATACTTGTTCTTTGTAGTAATGTTTGCAGAAGGCCTAAGCTGAGAATGGTCCTACTGCATCCAGGGGGCAAAATCTATAACAGGGAAATAAAGGTGCCTCTTAATTATCTACCCTGAAGAGAGGGAGCCAAGAGAGTAAATACCTCAACTTCACTCCTCCCCTGCCCTCCCATATCCTGCCAGTGCCTCTCATTGGCTGAATCCAACTAGTAGTCAGAGAGCACAAGGGGCGTAGGGATGCAGTACATACAGGTCAGCCTCCCATTCCCAGTGTGCCGAGTAAGATGGAGAAGGATAGAGAGCAGTCTTAGAGAGGCATATGGAGATCATCTAGCACACTGAATAGAAGTGGAAAGTTACAACCTTAGAAACAATTTCTATTCAACTAATGAATATCAGCCATCTACTTACACAAAATCAATACATACAATGGTCATGTTTTAATTCTGAGGGTTTTCCTTTGCTTCTCAATATAGTGATTCTTTTCCCCCCAAAATCAGAACAGCATGGAATTAGAAACTGGAAGGAGCTTTTTCTTTCTTAGAATATGGTACGGATGTGAGTGTTGAACATGCCTCTTTAGTGTCCAACCAAATAGGAGCCACCATTATACTACAGTCTTTGTGCTAAAAAGTTGTTCCATAGTAGAGCCAAGAAGAATGCATTAGAGCTTCCCTACATCTGATCACCAGCTGGAAAGAAACTTCTATGGAAGATAGAGCCCACGGCCCAGTCCTGGATACTCCATACTCTTAGTATCTGTAGATTCGGACACCCCTTCCAGGGGTATGATTCAGGCAGCATAAAAGTGCTGATGAGAGAATCCCTCATTTTGGCTCCAAAGGCTCAGGTTCCTACCTCTTTTCCAGGGTTAACTTTACTCAGACCATGAACCTCAGCCTGTCAAGTTCCCATGTGAGACAGTCAACCTTCCACACCTCAAATCTCTGTTAACCACATTCTCTGCCCGGAAACTCTCATCACTTCCCCGGTTCTCAGCTGGTCCCAGTTTCCTACAGAGCTTCACTGGTTGCCCCTACTTCCTCCCCAGTTTGTGTCAGGCCAGTCTCAGCCCCACAGTGGCTACAGTGTTCTACTGGTGAGGTACCTCTGTGGCCTGCTCCCTAGATATCCACTTCCTCTGCTAGTTTCCACTGGTCTCCTACAACCCTGGAGAACGCCCTGCCTCCTTCTCCTCAGAAATGCTATCTTTCCACAGTCCATATTCCAGTCAGGAATTCTATACCCTTAGGTCCTAAGTAATTTTCCAGAATCATATCTCAGGTGAGCTACCCATAAAAGTGCTCACTTTACCAAGTCAACTCCCATGGCCTTCAATTGTGTTCCTGGTCTAGTAGGGATTGATATGGGGACTGCTAAAGAATAATTAAGGGAAAAAGTAAAATCAGATTTCTTAAATAATTATAAAATATATGTATAAAACATTTAAACTTATTAATTAATGAGGAAACCAGTAAGATGTTACAAATGGTTCAAAAGAGAATTCAAAAAACCACACATATCTAGGCAATAAAGAATGTTGAAATAAAAAAATGTACAAATAAGTGCAAAATGAATCAAAGATCAATTGCATTCCAGACATTTATTTGCATCTCTGTGGACAAGAATCTTTGCATTATTAATTTTCTACAATCTGAAGAGTCAGAATACAACTCAAAGTCAATGAAAGGTGGAGATAACCCAGAAAGGTACTCTAAAAAGTATACCCAGGAAATTGTTTTGGCTGATTTAAAAACTTTCACAATTTTTTTGTGATAGAAGAAAGGCCTCTTCCCTTTCCCACAGAAAACTACATCTAGTGTAACAGCACAAGCATTGTCTGTGATGTGAGAACAGGTATTTTTGCTTGTGGAGTCCAATATATGTGTCCTCCTTATCTCAAAATCTTGATAAGACACAGAGGGCTCCTCACTCTCAGACCGTTACTGCTCAAAATGTGGTCTGGCATCACCTGAGATGTTTAGAAATTCTGATTTGGGGCCGCAGAATAAATCAAAATCTTTATTTTTAAAGGTCCTGGGCATAAATAAAAGATATCCTATGTTTATGGATTAGAAGAATTAATATTATTAAGATATCAATATTCCCACAAATGACCTACAGGTTTAATGTAATCCCTATACAAATCCCAGCTGGCTTTAAAAAAAAAAAAAAGAAATTGACAAGTGTATCCTAAAATTCATATGGAAATTAAAAGGACCCAGAATAGCCAAAGCAATCCTGCAGAAGAACAGAGTTGGAGGACTACAATTCCCAAATTCAAAACTTATTACAAAACTACAGTAATCAAGCCAGTGTTGTACACACATCAGTTTAGACACATAGAGTGACAGAATAGAATTGGGAGTCCAGAAATAAACTCATACATCTATGGTCAACTGATTTTTGACAAGTATGCCAAGATCATCTATTGGAGAAAAAATGGTCTTCTCCACAGATGGTGCTAGAACAACTGGATGGTGCTGGAACAACACATAAAGAACCACAGATGGTGCTAGAACAACACACAAAGGAATGAAATTGGACAATGATCTCACATCATATACAAATATTAACAAAATGATTTAGAAACTTAAATGTAGGCCCAGTGTTGTGGCTCACACCTGTAATCCCAGCACTTTGGGAGGCCAATCTGGGCAGATCACAAGGTCAAGAGATCAAGACCATCCTGGCCAACATGATGAAACCCCGTCTTTACTAAAAATGCAAAAAAATTAGCTGGGTTTGGTCATGCGTGCCTGTAGTCCCAGCTAGTTGGGAGGCTGAGGCAGGAGAATCGCTTGACCCTGGGAGGCAGAGGTTGCAGTGACCCGAGATCTCACCACTGCACTCCAGCCTGGTCACAAAGCAAGACTCTGGAAAGGGACAAACAGAAACAAAGAAAGAGAAAGAGAGAGAGAGAGAGAGAGAGAGAGAGAGAGAGAGAAGGTGAGGTGGGGGGGAGAGAGAGAGAGAGGAAGGAAGGATGGCAGGGAGAGAGAGAAAGAGAGAAACTTAAAACGGGGCATAAATGTTTATGACCTTGAATTAGGCAATAATTTCTCAGATAGGACACTAAAAGCATAAGTGACAAGAGAAAAACAGAAAAATTGAACATCATAATTAAAAACTTTTGTGGTTCAAAGGACACCATTAAGAAAGTGAAAAAAAAAAAACACAGAATGAGAGAAAATATTTGCAAATTATATACCTGAAAAAAGGCTCAAACCCATAATGTATACAAAACTCTTAAAACTCAACAATACAAATAACCGAATTTTAAAATGGGCAAATGACTTGAACAGAGATTTCTCCAAGGAAGATATACAAAGAGCTATAAAGAGATGCTCAACGTCATTAGTCATTAGGGAAATGCAAATCAAAACCACAGTGAGATACCAGTTTCATCTACTAAAACAACAACGACAACGAGAGTGTTGGAACCTTCATACATTGTTAGTGGACATGTAAAATGATGAGGGCACTTTGGAAAATAGTCTAGCAGTTCCTCAAATGGTTAAACAGAGACTTAATATGTGACCCGGCAATTCTACTCCCAGGTATATACCCAAGGGAATTGAAAACATATGTCTGTTATGAAAATGCTCATAGCTGCATTAGTCATAATAGTCACAAAATGGAAGCAACCCAAATGCCCATCAACTGATAAACAGGTAAATAAAATGTGGTATAGCCATACAATGGAATATAATTCAGCCATAAAAAAAGATAAAAGTTAAAGATATGCTAAATGAAAGAAGCCATCTACAAAAGGCTGCAAATAGCACGATTTCATTTGTTTGAAATGTCCAGAATAAGTAAACCTCTAGAAATAGAAAGTTCATTTGTGGCTGCTGGGACTGTGAGGGAGGCAAGATGGGCAGTAACTACTCATGAGTAAGGAATTTCATTTTGTAATAAGGTACTGCTGTCGGCCTAAAGCAGTTACTTTTTTTTTTTTTTTTTTTTTTTGAGATGGAGTCTTAGTCACCAGGCTGGAGTGCAGTGGCACAACCTCGGCCCACTGCAACCTCTGCCTCCAGGGTTCAAGCGATTCTTCTGCTTCAGCCTCGTAAGTAGCTGGGACCACAGGCACGTGCCACCAGGCCAGCAATTTTTTTATTTTTAGTAGAGATGGGGTTTCACCATGTTGGCCAGGATGGTCTCGGTCTGTCGACCTCATGATCTGCCCACCTTGGCCTCCCAAAGCGCTGGGATTACAGACATGTGCCACTATCCCCGGCCTAGAGCAGTTATTTGTTAAAGATGGTCTTGAAATGTTCAGCGCCAAATACCATAGATTTCAGAGAGAACTCAGTGCTCGTGCGCCGCACCCCTCCCCCCACCGACAGAGCGTGTGCGTGCCTAAGGGTTGCCACTGCCCACTTCCGGTTCCATCACTTCCGGTTCTGTGACGCACTCGCTAGTCACCATCCGCCATTTGCTGCCGACTCTGCCGCTGCCCTTGCTACCACACCGACTTCGCCCGTGTGCTCGCTGCACCCGTGCCACTCACCATGGCCACCGGCCCACCTCCGCAAGTACTCCCGAACTATGACAACAACTGCGAGGATGCCGTCAACAGCCACATCAAGCTGGAGCTCTACGCCTCCTACGTGTACCTGTCCATGGCTGTCTACTTCAACCAGGACGACGTGGCCCTGAAGAACTTCCACCGTTACTTCCTGTGCCTGTCAGATGACAAGATAGAGTGTGCCCAGAAGCTGGTGAGGCTGCAGAAAGAGCGTGGCGGCTTCATCTGCCTTCACGACATCACGAAGCCAGAGCGCCAAGGCTGGGAGAGCGGGCTCAAGGCCATGGAGTGCGCCTTCAATCTAGAAAAGACCATCAACCAGAGCCTGCTGGAGCTGTACCAACTGGCCACCGAGAAGGGTGATTCTCAGCTGTGCGACTTCCTGGAGAGCCACTACCTGCACGAGCAAGTCAAGGCCATCAAAGAGCTGGCTGACTACGTGAGCAACCTGCGTAAGATATGTTCCCCGGAAGGTGGCCTGGCTGAGTACCTGTTCGACAAGCTCACCCTGAGCGGCCGTGTCAGAGACACCTGAGCCCAGAAGAGCCCCACAGCCATGGGGTACCTTCCCTAGGTCGGGCCTTCAGGCCAGACCTGAATGCCACCCTTGGACAATGTTCTCTTCAGTTTTTCCTCGGTTTTACTATTGTTAGCAATAAAGTTATCTGGTTCTCAAAGCAATACAGGTGTCCAGTTGATGTGTGCCTGCAACTCTCACCTTTTAGGAATCCGGGCACATCCCCATGCAACTTTAAAGTAGGTATCCAGCAGTCTCTCCAACCACCACCCACCCCTGCTCCATCTGCATGCAGCTCAGGATCTGCAAGGGTATAGGGGAATGGTATTCTGTGGGCCTCTGGAAAACACAGTCGTCTTCCCTTTGTAAACTATCCCGGTATGTGGTGTGGCATGGGGTGGGACTGGCAGTCTTGGGCCCTGGTGACTGTGGGGTGTATGCGCATGATAAAGTGTAAAACATGGTCCAGAATTCATCATAGCAGTTGCATCTGGGGAAGAAGTGAAGAGAATGGGATTGGGCACAGATTAAAATAAACAAAGGGGTGTTCAAATTTACATGAAAACTTTGGTTACTAAAATATGCCAGTGTTAACGTTTGTTGATTCTGAGTAGCAAGTGAGGGCTCTGGGTGACGGCATGGCAGGATTCCTCTTTGGCAAGCTCACCCTAGGGGACAGTTATCATGGGAGCCCTAAGCTGGCTTCCCCATAGCCAAGGGGCTGACAAACTAAAATGGCACTTTGCAAGTCCAAGTCTTTTTGTTTACATTATCGTACTTTTGTTTTTACAAGAATCTCAGGAAGAAGGACGGACAAGTATCGTCTCTTTACTAGTGACAAAAAGGGGGGCCATACAGGCAAGAAGTTGTGGAATTTGGACATAAACTTTGATCTGATGCCATGTTCCTTTTTCTTTCTGTTACCCTGCAAGTGTATCAACGGGTTAAAGAAGGTTGTGTGGGTAGGCTGGGAATCTAGCCAAATAACCAGCCCTGGGAGGGAAATCTCCCAACACTCTTAAAGACAGCCCCGATCACTGTAGTCTCTCTCCTAATTACAGGTGTGCCTTCCAGTCTAGGGTGGGGACAGCTTCTCAACCTCTGCCAAAATCCTTCTTATATGAAAGAGGCCTTCAGAATAAGCAACAGACTATATGAAGTAGGAGGGCACCTTACAGGAAGGCAGCCAACACCTGTACACCTGCATCCCTCTGTTCAGGTTCTCTCCACAAAACAGACAGTAACGCTGTTGCCTGAGTTGGCACTGAATACCTAGGAAGGCCTTAGGGCTGGAAATCCCCAAACAGTGCACCATCCATCTCTCTACATGTCTTTACTGTGAGTGGCTTCTCTTCAAGCACAACAGATAAATGGGGGTGGCTACAAAACACACATGCTCTATCTGCAAATCTCACTTATCTCAAAGCCTGGACAGAGAAACCCAGTCTACTTACCATGTGTAGTGTACTATCGTCTCCATATTGCCTGTTGTGGTCTCTTTACTGAAATCTACAGCTGACACCAGATTGGTTTCCTCTTGGCCACAGGGTCCCCTCTTCACCCCATTTTTCCATTTCCTGTGATTCAGAGAGACCCCAGGATAATGCAGAGAAGTCCACTTAGAACTACATCCTTTTATTTTACCTGAAAAGGCAGGATTTCCTCACCTACAAGACTCAGAGAGAATTGTGATTACACTCAGCACCTATCACATGCCACTATTTGTAGTGTCATATTTCACAGCTTTTCTTTCAGGATCCCTGGCTGGGAAGTCTAGGTAAAGCGGCAGCTTAATTGTCTCTATTCTTGTTCCACTGCAAGAAAAACATGAATGTTCTAAATCCCCTCCTTTTGGTTCAGTTTTAGGGTCCACAGTCTTTTGAATATGTGGGGCAACGGTGGAAAACCTAAGAGACATTTAGACCAAGCAGGCCCCACTAGCACTTTTCAACGTCTTGACCTTGTCCGTTGCTGCAAGTCTCATTTTCTCACCCTCCCTTGCCGCCTTCCTCTTAAAAGGAGCGAGCAAACTTCTTACAGGTGGGCCACATTCCCACATACACACAGCCTTCCTAATCCTTTGATAGCCTGACTTTTAATACTAACGAGTGAGTTGTGCCTCAGTCTTCCAGCCCTGCAAAATACCACCCTGAGACATATAACTGATGCTTGTCAGTCATTCATTGTGCTCTGTTGCTTGAGGGAGTGATGGCCGAAAGAGCGGCTGCTGCTATGGGCACCAAAGTCTCAGATGATGATAGTATTGGGACAGACTGAGGGAAAATGGTAAAATTGATAACGTTATCTCAGGCTCAAACACAGATTCAAATTAACTGTGTTGAATAATTTACCACTGGGGGGAAAACCCTCACTTTATCACAAAGGAAATTTCTTAATAGATGGTTGTCACTGACAACTTGTACTTCATTTTCCAGAAAAAGGAAAAGTATTTTTTTTCTTAGAAATGTGTGTGACAAGCAGTACAAAGCACCCATTAATTTCTCCTGAATCTTCTCTACTCTGGAAATCTGCTCTACATTTCTGATTTTTAAATTCTCATTTTCCTTTTCATTTACCAGCAATTACAGTTTCTTTGCACAAGCCTGAGAGACGTATCTAATCAAGTATTTAGTAGAGGAAAGCATTATCTGTAACCTTGAAAGTGATACTATGCTTCAGATTTTAAAATAACAATTTGATGTAGCTGTTATTGTTGTTTTAATTGCAGTCCTCAGTTCAGTTTCAGAGAGATATTGATGGAGAATTTGCCTCAGGAAAGCTGAAGGGAAAGGTGAAATGAGAGAAACCATATTAGCAAAGTGTGAGGACACCTAGAAGGTAAAAGGAAAGAAATGTACACCTTGATTCACTAGTCAGGGGAGCTGTAGGAATGGGATGAGGTACAGTAAGAAAGGAAAGTACTAACAGCTATCGTATTTTTAGGAATCCTGTGACTGCTTGGTTTGGGTTAGGTTATGAGTAGTAACAAAGACCAGAAAAGCAGAGTCTTATAAAAGATAGGTTTTCCTTTTCATGTATAAAACAAGTATACATATTATAAAAGAAGTATACATATGTAAAAGAAGTATTCAGAAAACTGAACTGTTTTCTCCCATACTTCTTTTATACATGGAAGAGCTTTCAATCAGATTTCACAGATTTCAAGAGGCACGTTGTTTTCTTTACATTTTAACATATTTGAAATTGGGATGTATCTTATCATCACTGTTGGCCATACCTGTCATTGCCTGAGGATGCGCTGCAAAACTAAACAAAGTGGTATCATTGGCTGTCAAAAAATCCTGGAGATAGTAGATGTGTACCCTTTTAAAAAATACTGCATTACCAACATGCTTGATGGCACAGAAGATGATATTAAGAGATATCAATGTTTCTGAGTACAGAAGTGATTCAGAAGTGTTGAAATTTGAATCTGAAGTTCTAGCAGTACTTGAAACAATTTATTTAGCACATAGTTTCCTTTTTATGTGTACACATAAGAATGATTCAATAACAAAAGTCTGTGCTTAAATAAGTGGAAAAGAGATTTTCCAGTAACTGTAAATTTAAAAATCTAAGGGATAAGAAAACACTGTGTTCTAATTTAACTGGTAGTACTTGCTTTGTTTGTGGTACATAGAATAATGGTGTGCCTTAAATTGTGTTTCATTAGATAAAATACATTATCTTATTGTTCCACTGAACAGGGCTTCCAGTCCAGATGTGGTTTCATGATCCACATAGCTATTACAGCTCCAACGATTACACTAGCATATCAGGAAGGAGAAAGACAAAACATACATATATGTAGGAGTGAGAGAAGATCAGGTCATTTATTGGAAGCAAGGAAAAGACTGTACATAAGTGTAATGGAGGATTGTTCTTTGAGTTAAGGGCTAGTTGCTTACTGTGATCTCTGGTGATTCAGGGGGACAATGTCATGGGAACATTTATTTTCCTTCTAAACCAAAGGATCGAACAGAAGGCCCCAGGCCAGATTCATCTACAGACGTGTTTTGCTTGGGCTAATGATTTTTTAATAAACTTTTTATTTTGGAATAATTTAAAAATTTCCATTTAAATTGCAAAGATGTACAATTTCTGCATATCTGTTCCCCAGTTTGCTGTAATGTTAACATCTTACAGAACCCATGGTATACTTGTCAAACATAAATTAAAATTGGCACATTGCTATTAACTAAACCTCACACTGCATTCAGATTTCACAAGTTTTTTCACTGATGTTCTTTTCCTGTTCCAAGTTCCAATCCAGGTTTCTACATTGCATTTAATTGTCATGCCTTCTTGGTGTCCTCTGTCTCAGTCTTTCCTTATGATTCACAGCCTTCACAGCTTTGAAGGCTACTACTGATCATGTATTTTGTGGAATGTTTCTCAATTTGGATTTGTCAGGTACTGCTCTCATGATTAGACTGAGATTCTGTGTTTTGGGGAAAAATACCACTTCACCTCTGGAGTGTATTTCTCATCACATCATATCTTTCAGGCTACATGACATGAACATGACTTATCGTTGGCAGTGTTAATCTTCATCGCTTGGTTAGAGTGGTAATGGCGAGTTTTCTCCACTTAAAGTTGCTATTTTTCATCTTTCTGAACTCTGTTCTTTAAAGTGAGTCAAGTCCAGTTCACCCTCAAAAGGATAGGAGGAAGAGCACTGCCTGGATGGACAGAGTACTTACCTATAATATTTGGAATTCTTCTGTAAGAAAGATTTATATCTTCTCTCTGATTTATTCAATTATTTATTTATCTCACTATGGATTCATAGATATTTATTTAGTACTTTGTGTTATAATCCAGAACTACGTTATTAATTTTGTTCCTCAAACTGTTGCATATTTGGCCAGTTGGAGATCTTTCAGTTGGCTCCTGTGTTCCTTTGACATAGTCTCACCTTCTGTGGGTATGTGTGCAGCGTTTCCTTACTTTCTAGCACTACAATATGCTCTAGACTCATGATGCATTTTCCCTGCCCCAGCTTTAGAATTAACCAT